GCCCTGGCCGAGCACCGGCTCCCCCACGCCCTCCGATCCCACCCGTACGTTTATGTAGATATTAGAGTGATTTAGCCATCTGAGTGCTTTGGGACTGACACATCCTTGGGCAAGTCATCGCCAGTACTTGTGGATTTACCAGGTCTTTGAGATGTTGACATGCTTCTGTGGTGCGGGACTTCCTTAGACATAGTACAGTTGTGTGTTGGGGTTTGGGTTTGTGTGGTTGATTTGGGTTTGTTTTTTTTCTGTGTGGGATTTTTTTCTTTGGTGGGTTGGTTTGTGGGTTTTTGTTTGTTTGGTTTTTTTGGGGGTGGCACCTCGCTACTCATTCCTGTGCCTGGGATTAAAAAAGGGAGGGTAGGTAGTTCCTAGGCTGTCTTGCTGTGCAAACCTCCAGTGTCCTGGTGCACGCAAGCAGGTGCGGGCATGGGAGACAGCAGCACGAGGAGAAGGTATGGACTGACCAAGCCAGCATCACAGAGAAAAACACTCCTGTAATTACTGCTTTAACTATGAAGGTGATGATAGTGTCTGCACTGTCAGTTCTGCAAAGGAAATAAAATAACTGCAGTTGAATCTGCTGGAATCTGTATTTGGAAAATTAGTACGTGTTGCAAGGTGCTTAAGGTAATGGCACAGGTAGTTCTTCCAGACAAGATGCAGCTTTCTCCCAAAGCTAGGCTCCAGTCCTTCAAATACCAATGCACAGACTCTGACTTCACTGTGACTGCTCCTGTGCTTAGGTATGAGTGAATGCTGCAGGGAACACTTAGGAGTGTGGAGAGATGTTATAAAGCAAGTGTCAGTTACTTTTGGGCTGTGAAGGAAGCAGTGTTCTGTTAAACAGTAGCCTAGAAAGCACTTCTGTAATTGCTATAAAACCATCTAGTACTGTTTCTTAATGTATTTCTATTGTAAACAATCTGTAGTCAGCATTTAATTATGTTGCAAGATGCTAGTCTCTTGCTCTTGGGACTTCTATTGTCTGTTTCTTCCAGCTACTTACAAACTGTAAGCAAAAGAAGATGCTAGTTGAAAAGGAACAGGAACCGTGGAGTATGTTAATTGGAATATATTATCTCACTAGCTGATAGCCCTTGCTACACCATGATATTATCAGCAATTTTTACATTAATTTATGGATACAACACAGACTACTTTAAAATCTAGACTTATGAGGCATCTTCTGTAAGGAGTCAGTTGGATGATTCTTCTTGGAAAGATGGGGTGAAATATTTCTTTCACTTGGAGATTTTTCTCAGACCATTGTAAACTACCTAGGCTGGGGACCTTCAGTAACAAGACTACTGTTTCAGTCCAAATATATTGCAGAGCCTGTTTGGCATCTATTATATTCCCCAGGAATAGTTCCAGTGAGGGCAGTACAGATCCAGATCCCCAGGTAATGCTGTTAATGAGGTACTGGAGTGGCAAGCTTCAGATGCAGTGGATCTTGCACTTTAGTTTTGCTGCAAAGCTAGCACTTTAAGTGCATCTTTATCTCTGCAGATGAAAATAAAGACTCCAGAAAATATTTTTATTTAAATTAAGAAAGTAGTTTGGCAATTGAGCATGTGAGGAAAAACTCTGTAGTATGCTTAACAGACTTTAACCGCTGTTTCTTGTCTGTCAGCCTCCAAGTTGAATATGTAGTAACAATAAACAACCCTATTGTATACTTGTTTCAGACTATTTTGGCCTAAATCAAGGTGCTATGATTACTTATATCAGGAAGCTGAAGCACTTCTGAAAAACTTTCCAGTTCAAGCTACAATTTCCTTTTATGAAGACTCGGATAGTGAAGATGATGAAGATGAACTGGAACAAGATTCAAGAACAGAATCAGGTTGCTGATTGCAGGAAAGGCCAATGCGACTTCTAAAACTTAATTTAAACTTAATATAAAAATGTATTATAGTATTTTTAAAGATAATTTATTTGTATGTAAGTTATTCTTAATAAAACTGTAATGTTTTGTAATTTTATCTGAGCTTTTTTCCTTTTTCTATTCCTGTTCTGTTTAAGGCAGGGAAGGTACTGATTAGTGTTTTTATCGAAGATCCTATATTTTGTAGACTGCAACTTGGACATCAATTTTAAGAGCAGAGAATGGATGCCTTGCTTCAAAGGGCTCTATGTGAATTCCTCAAAGTCCAAGGACACAAGGAAAGCTTGTTCATGGTGATTTAGCGGGTGTATCAAGGAATCATTGGATTAAGTATTCCAATGTTGTGCCTGCTGTTACAACAGAACTTCAAACATGGAAAAGAGAAACAATAGAGCCGTTTTCCTTATAGAGAGAAGGGTCCAAATTCTCCTCTAGATTTTGCTTTTAAAGAAGTGGTTTGCCTTAAGTCACTCATGCTCTTCCGTGTACCCCAGCTGCATTGTTATATGAAGCTATCGGTTTTGTTTATAAAGTGGACATCAAGAAATGAGAGACAGGGAGCTGTGCCGAGTTCGGTTTTGATAATCGAAGCACAGTTTGGTACCAATCATCATGCAGGCCAAAGCCCCTACAGGGACAAAGATCCAAATTTTCAATCCAAATGCCAGTGCCTCCATGAGGTACAGCTGGTGTACATCCCTGAACCTCTCCTTGCCCGAGTGCTCGTGGGTGTGTTGCTGCGGGCTGGGTGGGCTCAGTGTGTCCCTGGAGCGCTGTCCCTGTCCCATCTCCTCCCAGCCTGGCAGGAGGGGGGGGTCCGCGCCCACCGCCCTTCTCACCAGCTCACCCTCCGAGCGCGGGCAGGAGCGAGAGCGCCCGGTATAACCCCTTCAGGCCGTTAAACCACCTTCAGCGCGACGGGAGACAACCTCCCCGGGGCGAC